CTGGGGTGGTGAGCAGAGAAACCCAACAGGCATCAAGGCAACAAACCCCAGCACACAAAACTGCACCTCGGCGAGAAATGGTGTCTGACTGAGTGTCCAGGCTCATGTGAATGGGTCGCAGACAGCAGGAGAGGCCCAGGCACAAAGGCGGGCTCTGCTGAGAAGAAGCTCGGCCCCCTCGTAGCTGGAGGGCCACATGGACAGCACCACAGAAAGCATCCCACCTTCAGGCAGGTGCAGCGGGGGCTGTCAGTGGTGGTGCTGGCGGTGGGGATCCAGGCTCACCCACACCATGGTGGAGGGTGAACCACATGTGCTCGAGGTCATGGGCACAGATGGGACACCGTGGCCCCTCCCCCTGGGATCCCCATACCTGCAGTGGCCACCGTGACCTTTGCTGCAATAGACTCGGGTCAAGCATTCTTCATTTGATTAAGAAGTCCCTGAGCATTTAAGCTTGTCCTCCTGGTGGGCCAAACCTGACACTGGAACTCAAAGCACAGAAGATGCTCAATGCACCTTTGACAGAGATGATGAATGCAGCGGTGAGGGGCCTGGAACTCCCACCGGTGTCCTCAAAGCAAGGACAGACCAGTCGCAGGGAGCATAGCCACTAATTGCCTCAGCCGTGATGGCTGCCAAAGCTGTGTTGTCCTGGGGTGCACCACGTGCCCTCTGCAGCCAAATCAAGATGAAGGAGACAGAGAAGGACAGGTGTATGTATATGTGCACGCATGTGTGTACATGCTAGTGCATGCTTATGCTTCTGCATACATGTAGATGTGTGTACATGTGTGCATGGAGATGTGTGAAAATGTGCACACATGTGTGTACATGCACGTGCTTGTGCATAAGCACATTTGCGTGCATGTATGCATGTGTACACGCGTGTATCTGTGTGCTCACATGCATGTGTGTGCGTGCATAAGCGTGTGTGCAGACGTGTGCACGTGTGTGCATCTGTGTGTGCGTATGTGTGTGTTTTGCGGGGTTCCCCACACCCAGGACTGATCCTGCAGCCGGCATCCCTGCTTGGGAATGGAGAGATGACCTTGCCCTCACCTGGGATGGAGAGGTGGTGGAGGGGCACGTCCCACAGCTGGGGGCACAGCCCCGACATCCAGTCCGCGTTGGCGTTCCCACAGCGCAGGTTCCGAAAGCTGCTGGCAGCGCTCACCTGGCCGCCCATTGCAGGCAAGCCCTGTGCAACCTGAGGAAAGAAAAGAGGCTTTTTAGGGTGAAAACCTGTGCTGGTTACACATGGGGCATGGCTTTGAAATAAAAAGAACCAACAGACTTCCCCGGAGGAGGACGGGGTGGTCTGGGCTGTGGGGAGATCAGAGATGGGTTCCTGAGGACAGGGGAGGGAGAGAG